CCTTCCCCGTGCTCCTCTTTTGACCACCAGCCAGTGTGGGTGCTTCACTGTCCACATGGTGCTTCACTGTCCACATGGGCTGCCCAAGTACTAACCCAGTTCACTCTCAGTGCAATAAAGGGCCCTGAAAGAGTTTCTTTCCCTGCCCCCATCCTTCTGTCTCAGTGCAAATCTCATTGCTTGCTGGAACAGGGACGCCTGAATTCTGTGGCCAGCTTGGAATGTGACCATCTTGCTTGGAGAGGCAGCAAGTTACTAAATCACCTGGCTGGGAAGCCTCTATGTTCTTCCCTCAGCACCAGTGATTAATAGCGTCCTCCATGTCTGCGCTGGTACTAGTCTAGCTGGTGCTGGGGGAGTGTGGGGCATGCTGTGCTGACAGTGTCCTCAGCAGAAGTGGCTTCTGCTTCCCACCCACCCTGCTGCAGCATAAGGCAAACCAAGCTTAGAGCCCTCTCTTCCTCCCCACTTAAGCCCCATGTCCTCTACTAGCAGCTCTACAGCAGCACAGCACAACGCAGACCCACCTTCTCCCCCATCAGCCCTTGTGCCCCGTGGCCCTCTGCAGTCATGGCCATGCCCATGTTTCCTCAGGTTGCCCAGCAGCGGATGCTCTCCAGCATCTCCCCACTGTGCCTGCATCCGAGTCCCTCTCCCCTGTCCAGAAGCCCCCTTAGGGGGTTGTGGCTAAGGTGTCTAGAGATGAGACATCCTGCTCGGGAATGCTGCTGACCTTGGCCCTGCCGCATTGTTGCTCTGTGCCCCCATTTCCCCACCTGGGGAAGGGGCCATCCTGGCTTTGACCCCTGGGAAGCTTGGGGCTACAAGGAAATGGATAAATTGAAGTAGGATTAATAGGCATTTAGGGTCTGATTCTGCTGCCCAGGGACTGTGGTGCCTGATGGCCACAGGGTGCTTTAGCCCAAGGCAGAATAGCAAGCAGGGGCAAAGGAGCAGGATCGTGCCCTGCGACTCCCACGCCCGTGGCTGGGTCAAGCCCATGTGCTGGGCAGGGCTTAGGCCTGGTGTGTTGTCTCCTTCCCACCCAGTTGCAGAGCACAGCTCCTCTGCCCTAGCTGCTGCCAAGGTGATGCACTCCCAGTGCCAGCAGTGATGAGCTCTGGCTCACAGCTCACAGCAGCCCCACGACCTCCAGAGCCCTGGATCCAGGGACAAGAACCAGTGTCCCTGTGACTTTCCCCATCTCCGGGAGCCTGGGGGTGAGATCACCCTCTCCTGGCCTCCCCTCTTCCACCCTCTCAAGTGCCCCCTGTCCCTGCTGAGCCAGACAAGCTTTCTTCTGCTTCTCCCCAGCCCTGCAGGTCAGCAGCTCCTTGGGGTTCAGCCCCATGTCACAGGCCCTTCCCCCCGGTGCTGATCCTGGCAGTGCGACCGTGTTGCTGCCTGTTGGAGGCGGCTGGGCCACCGTAATAAATTGGACATGTCAGCGCCGTTTGCTTCTTCATCTCCCTTCATTACCCGCAGTGGCAATTCATCTTCTGGCCCGGGGGAGCCGGCACTGTGGGGGTGGGGGGATGATGGAGTGGGGAGGGGGGCCAGGGATGAGCCCCTGTGGATCTGA